CTACGGAAGGGATATTCCTACACCTTTCCTCTTCAGATCTCGCTGGCATACTCATAAGTGACCTCCCCCCATGTCAATTCTGCAATTTCATCGAGCTATTATAGCACTCGAAGGAGTTATCATTGTACCACTTTCATGGTGAACTTCTAATCAGGTTTTGGCAATTGCCTCCTCAACGGTCAAATTTTCAGAGTAGAGATTTCTCATCTCTAAAATCTATCTCGCTGCCATACTCATAAGTGACCTCCCCCCATGTCCATTCTGCAATTTCATCAAGCTATTATAGCACTCGAAGGAGTTATCATTGTATCACTTTCATGGTGAACTTCTAATCAGGTTTTGGCAATTGCCTCCTCAACGGTCAAATTTTCAGAGTAGAGATTTCTCATCTCTAAAATCTAAAACATACACTTAATCTCATGACCTCCTATAATAAAGTATCTCAAAGCATTATGGTTTTGTCTTCTTTTCCACTGAAATTGCCCTTACAAAGGGGATTCAGGTATTTCGTCCCCTCTCCTTTTCAGATCTCGTTGCCACGCTCGTAAGTGTCCTTCCCCCATGTCCTTTCTGGAATTTCATTAAGCAGTTGTGGCACTCAATGGAGTTGTCATTGTATATGTTTCATGGTGAACTTCTAATCAGGTTTTGGCAATTGCCTCCTCAATGGTGTGATTTGATTTTGTGTGTGGATAAGTGTAAAGAGGTGGGTAGGAGTGATGTAGGGTAGGAAAGAAAATTTTTGGGTGGAGAAAGATTGGGTAAATGTGGATGATAAAAACTTTAGAATAGTAATAGGGTAAGAATAACTCCGATACCAAAAGATACCAAAGTTAACCTAAGTGGTAATAGGTAGTGCAAATATTATTACTGAAAAAGCCAAATAGGTGGTTACAACCAAACACACACTGAAGTAGGAAATAACAACGTCACGACACACTACTAGGGTGGATCTCGAGTGGTGGTGGCAGCCGTTAGGGGTGTGTAAAGGTGGCGGCAAGGTAGGGAAGGTGCGGGACTGTGTGGAATAGTGGCAACACAGCAAAAAGGGATGTAAGTATCAATTGGGGAGACTAGAACAACAAGTGTGGTGGCAAGCGGAGCTGCGAGGTGCAGTGGGTGAGGCTGGAACAACATTGGGACAACAATAAAATAGCAGGTTTGTTGTTTTCCGGATGACGGCGGTGAAGGGAAAGGGGCTGCGGCCACGAGGCAGCAGGCTGGCTTGATAAAAGCAAGTGGCGGGCAGATGCACTGCAAGATTAACAACAAAGATTGCTATCTCGGGCAGCTGCAGAAGTGGAGAAAGACGGCAGCAACGAAGGGGGCGAAGTAGGGGCCTAAAGGACAGCAAGCGGAGGCTGTCCGGGTCAGTGGCAACAACAAGGATTGGAATTGTAAAACTGCAGTGAAAAATAGCAAATGAGTACTGTTCAAGGGTGGGTGCAGCCAGCGATAAACGGCGGCTAGGAGCGTCATGGGGAAGATTTGAAGGGGATGGGGACGTAAATCAATACCGAGAGAGAGAGAGAGAGAGAGAGAGAGAGAGTAATCAATACCGAGAGAGAGAGAGAGAGAGAGATACAGCCGGAGCACCATTCAACCCCTCAGATACAGCTCTCAGGCCCTCAAAGGGAAATGGAGAAGTTGGCGGCAATCCCAAACAAACTCAAGAAAAACCTAACCTTAGACTCCTATAGAAGTATATATATAATAATAGGATAACTAGGAGTGGCCCAAGAGAAGGGAAATGGAGAAGTTGGCGGCAATCTCGAACAAACTCAAGAAAAACCTAACCTTAGACTCCTACATAAGTATATATACAATAATAGGATAACTAGGAGTGGCCCAAGAATACCGACCGACTCCACTCTAATGCAAAAACATGGCCCCGTTCGGTCAGCCAAGTAGGAGACTTTCTGAGGTCACAATACAATAATAGCAAGGCTGGCGGTACTGTAGCAGAAGTCGCAAGTCTCCTGTGTAGCTCCAGTGTCAGTCCTGTTCCTATTCTTGGGCCCTTTTTTGGGTGTGGCTTTGAAGGTTGCCGTGCTCCCACAGCTTCCAATGTCTAAGCCCAAAGACTTCACAGGGCTATACTTAGAAGTTGGATTTTCGGGTTTGCAGGGGTAGGAAGGCTGCATCCTCCCCCAACATATATTTGCTCCACACACAAACAACGAGCCCTTTGCAACATAAAACAAGTTAATGTTGAAGTAAAGTATTGCTTTTTTTCCCTAGCAAATACGGAATGAACAACTAAAATTGGTAGCATCATGAATTTCTAGTCCAGTGTCATACTTTAATTTGTACATGTAACTATAAATAAATTGTCTATTTGTTTTTTAGAATGAACATGAACTAAACACACTCATCTTATTTACTTCAAAAGGATCAGAACCAGACGGGAGAACAATATAGGAAAGAAGTAAGGAAAGCAGTAGATATAGTAAAAGTATATTATTAATCATCACCAGCAACCACCCAAATAATCCCACCAATTCAATAAACTTCTCTACTGAATAAAATTATGAAAAAAGGATTTGGGCCTCACACCAAAAACAACTGTATGTTTATATGTATGCACTCAAAATACAACTGTATGTTTATATGTATGTTTACATGTTGCGGAGAAGAATGTAAAAACAACTTGGCTTTAGAATTTTCTGAGTAGAATATACCTTTGCACTCAAAATACGCCTATTGTCTTGCTTAACCATCTCCATTAAAGCTGCTTCCAGCTCCTCTGCTCTGAAATGAAGTGCTGAGTAAATGAAACATGAACAACATCTAGCCCGATAATTTCAACTAACCTAAACTCAGATCAAATATGGGCATAACATTGTCTGAGAACAAGGCTCTAACACCTTACTAGTAAGTTGGTGACTTAACACGACAGGTTCAGAAATCAAAGCATGGAAATCGCCTCAGAATGATCAATAAACCCCAAGGTTGATCTCACTCAAATAAAAATATATATAGAGAGAGAAGGAGAGAATGAATTATGATTCACACAGCAAAACTAAAATGGCTGCATATACCGTAAGGGCCAGCACACAACTCCATTACATAGCTTTCTGTGTGGCAGTCCAATCTCTCTCCAATGCAGGATAATTTATGATAACATAATTATACAAAAAATTTTAACATAAAAAAGCTTTATTGCGCAAGTAAAGAACTTCATCGAATCCCAGAAACATTAAAAAAATGGAAGATTTAAATACATACCAATCAACCCTTATGTATTTGCATATCTAACACCTAAACTTCAATTTTTACATGCATGCCACCTTATGAAAAGGTGTATTACACTTTTTAAAATCTAAAGTTGGTGGTAACTTTTATGTAGTATCAAAGATATGGCCGGTGAAAATGCAAAAAGTAAAGTTTATGTGTTTGATATGTAAATACATAGGAATTGGGTGGTATATATGTAAATGGCCTCACAAAATTTTCAAATTTCACTTCCATGGTTTTCTAATCATACTAATGCGTTTATGCATGTGGTGGCAATGGTGGATGCGGATAACTTAGTAAATCAACAAAAATCAAACCTTAAAAACCTTAAGAATGCTAACAAGTTAAACTAGCAGAAAATGTCAAAGAATTTGCTCAGCTTTAAAATCATATAGCAAATAAGATAAGTAGAGCAAGAAAGGAAAGGTGAGTTTTCTTTTCCATGATGCAGACTGCTAGCAAAATCAAATTTGCTACAGCTTTTGTACAAATTCTTTGGAAGAATAAAAAGAACCAAAATTTGCTCATTTGGAGGTGGTAAGAAGCACAAGCTTCCACAACATGCACACAAAAAACTTCATAAAATTTAGCATAGTCACATACAAAAACAAAAATCAAGCTGCCTGAGAAAAAATTTTGCTCTGCATCCCATTGCTTTCACTTTTTCAAAATTCCGAAAACAACTATTAAGTTCATGTCCAAGGCTAATTACTCGCACACGTACATATTTCCTGCAAGCACTTTGAGGTATTCACACCTTAATTATTGGCCCTATCCTGTCATTAGACTAGAACATATAAACCTAACGAAATCTTGTAGAAGAACCTTGCCCAACCCATGTGAGATATCGTCCAACTATGATGCGTGATTTGGTGTCACACCACACAGAAGTTGGCTAACTATCCCATGTGAACCCAAAGAGGGTATCCTAAAGAGGACAGAGTGATCAACAAGGCAAAGGCCCGAATAATTCAAAAAAAGTTTCTAGGAAGGTAGCTATTAGGAGAAAAGCAGGTAAAAATAAACTAAATCTCATATCAGAAAAAGAGGACAGTTTATTGGGCTATACAAGTAAAAGGTTAAATCAAAATATGAGTCACCTTTTATTGTAATATGCGGCGCTTTATTGGGAATTCCATGATGGAGCACTCCAAGAATTGGTGATCTTCTAAGAAGTTACACCAAGAAGGGTAAAACTATGATAGCCATCCTAACATGATTGGGGTAGGCAAAGAGAACAATACCTGATATAGCGTAAGCTAGGCCATTATTATAATTTGCATATAATGAATAACCCCTTACTAATTAATTGATTGGGAGAAAAAAAGAGAATAACACAAAATTTGGGATCAAGGTTAAACGTAGTGATGTTATTCGCTCAGGAAAAATATCAAACTAACCTAAATTACGACTTTATTCTTCATGAGATAAATTAATTTTAGTTTAACCAATTTTTTTTTTTAAGGATTTGATGGCTTTGTGCCATACTGAAGAATTTGGGAGAAAGAGGCCATATATTTATTCTAAACTCCAAATCTACCTAAGACCTAGCCTATGACACTATTTATGAGTTGTCCAAGAGATTGTTTTGCTAATTTGCCCGATAGGCAAGATGACCCAAAAGGTTTAACTTTAATTAAATGACCGTGACAACTTTGTGTCAGTCCAATATATTTGAGAGAGATGGGGCATGCATCCATTAGAATTCCTAAATCTAAGTAGGATTGAGCTTGCTAACTTTATTTTGTGAGTTGCCTAAATAGTTAGATCTCAAGACCTTGCCCTTTAATAAAAAAGGACTGAAAGTTTAATTTTAATTTGGTGAGCTTAATAGCAATGTGCCAGGCGGATGATCTCAGTTAAAGAGGGGCGGAGCATATATCCATTGAAAAGCCTGAAGTATACTGACTTGCTTTTTTTAGTTAATATGAGGTCAAATTTGATAGTTTCATTTATTGAAGACAAATCAACATAGACGTTATGACGAGAACACTTCATTAGTTCAAGGCTTATGAGCTTCCATCACGGGAAAGGAGGCCCAAATTGCAACATTCAGGACCCTTTGAATGACTGGAGTCCAACGAGTTTGAACTTGGGTAGTCAACTTGTAAGCCAAATTGATCGAGTCAAAATTACATATTTGAGTTGAGTCATATAATTGATGCATTTTATAACATGTATTGTGCATTCACTTCTTTTTCAATGCATTCGCATGAATCTAGACACACTAGCAATTTATGACATCTTTATGCAAATGTGTCTTTTTGTTTGTTTTTCTTAACATTCTTGTAAATTTAATTTTTTAAAATTTTGATATTTTTTTGTTAGCATGTGAGTACCATTGTATGTAGCTACAAAATACAGGACTTAGTCTAAATTGGCGGATGAATCTCTCATAAGAAAAAACGATTTCATGAGCGTGGATGGCAGCAATTTTTTTTTTTTTTTTTTGCACCCATTTTATGTAATATTATTATTCTTCTATACTCTCTGTTCACAAGCATTTCGGTGATCATTATGTTCTATGAGAAGAATGTTAAAATTATAACATAAATTGCACTCCTCGAGGATTTTTCGTAGGAGCGAACGGAAGGAGGAAAAAATGGGAGTTTCGGGTCTCTATAGGTCATGCTACCGTTGTTGTCTTCCTAGCTAGCTCTAATTCGTAGGAGCGAACGGAAGGAGGAAAAGATGGGAGTTTCGGGTCTCTATAGGTCATGCTATGTTGACCTCAATTTTCATGAGGTCTAGTATTTCTTGTAGGAGTTAGGATCTAGCCTTAGGGGTCTTCCTGCGATTATCTTAGAGCCTTAGAAGTGGTGCCCGCCTCGTTTTAGTTCGACCTATTTCCGTCCTCTTTTGTGGTTCCAAGTGTGTGGTGTGGGTGGTATCGACTTCTAGCATTTAGAAGGGTGAAAACAAGTGAGTAAACCCAAAAGGGATTCCCTATAGGACATTCCTGAGCCTTAGGGTGGCATTTTGCACAATTCGCACTCCCGCGCACAGGCCTCGCAATTCGGAGAGTCGAAAAAAAAATTTCCGGATCTTACAATTACTACGGTAGAACATGAATCTACTCAAGTCATATGATATTCTTTTATTATATTTTTTGATTTGATAAAGAAGTACAGCACTTTAAAAATAGAAGGTTTGTTTGCATCATTAAGGAATTATATACTTTAATTAATTATACAATCTTACCTGTAGTCTCATCCAAAATGAAAAAATTTCCCCTTGCATATGATGGCATTTTATTAAGCAGAATATATGCAGTAATTGGACACGAGTGCATTCAACATCACTAATTGGGGATATATAAGTCATAACTTCTGAAAAAAGGATGAACTATGTGGGATTCATTTGAAGAGAGCTCCTCCAAGGAAATGCATCCAATTCATGATATTTGTGTATTTTCAAAGATGAATGGTTTAAGTTATGCAGGGAAATGGTCAGTAAGGTTGCTTTTATGATGTTAATTAAAAAAATAACTGTTTCCAGTTCCGCAAAGTATGAGCCTCTGCTCACACCACTTGCATAAGATGATTTTAGGTCTCAATGTCTAGGTGTTTCTTTACTCACATAATGAGATACATAAATTAATTCAACTAGTCGACATGGCTGGTAATGCATGATAGCATGCACACACAATAAACAAATTGATTCATCACACAAGCAAAAAATGATGCAGGTAGCATCCATTCATGCACATATATAAACAATTATGGACATAAAAGGTGAGAGAGCATGACACTAGAACGGACCAACCTGAGAGATGCGCATCTTTTTTCCTTCAATAACCTGAACACCTCAGCCTTCAGCCACTTTACCTAGTAAAAAGTTCTTCTATTAAATTTAGTAAAAAACATAACAGTAGCAACCATAGCTAGGCATGTCAAAATTATAATATCTTTCAATAATGGTATAACAAGGTAGTGAAGCATTTCAACCGAAACAAATTGTATAAAATGTAAGGCTATAGTACATCAGTAGTTCCTATTAATGTCAAAGTAATACAGATTTAAGTCCATCTAGAACTATTTTCAACATTAATAGCACCTAAGTAGTAAAAACAATGTTAATTAACAAACTAGTTATTTTACTCATCTCAACAAAAGCTATCGCGGCAGTATATCCAAATGTTGCTAAATTGATGCTGAAAAATGCTGAAAACAGGATTTCAAAAATGTCGTAAAGCAAAACTATGTGCTACTTTCTCACTTCAAGTGAGGGCACAGTATTGCTTGCCCCCAACCTACGCAAGTGACTACCAAAAGTTAGTAAAAACGGGCTTCTGTGGATAATTAATCACATATGTTTGTCCGATATTACGCCACATACTCAGCTATAATTTTAATTTGGACAGAGAGGAATACATGAGAACAGGTTTTTCATCGGACACATTAAAATAAAATAGTCAATATTAATAAGGAAGCTTTTTCTTTGTTCATATGCTTAAGGCTGGTCATTAATTTATAATATATCATAAATCTTGTCGAAACTGATTTTTTTTAATCAAAAGTAATTATTGCCAAAAGATTAAAAGATTGTACTCTATGATTTTTTTCCATTGCTTATTAGATCTACAACTTCTGAAAGAGATAGATGAACCACTACAGCACATGAGGAAGAGCTATTGGAGGTGATTTAAATGAAATATATGTTCGAACAGGTTGTAATATGAGAAGATTCTTGACAATTATAAAATAAAAAAAAGAAATAGAGTGATAGAAAATATGCTTAATTTCACATTTGTAATAGCGAGCTCGTACTTTATTAAATACTTAGGTAACTCCCAAAGTGCAGCCGTGAATAAAAGGGCTTCCTACTAAGGGATTATTTGGTTTGGAGTATTTTGAGAATAGAGTAAATGAAATACAAGGGTTTAAACATTTAAGTTCATTGGATGGATGAAAAATAAATTCAAATTAATTTTGTTGATATATTTAAAATTCTTCTTTTCATTCAGCTTGATTACATTTGGAATTTGCCCAAATCGGGCGAATTCCACATACATCACATCGTAAGAAGCCGAGAACATCTCTTTCTGCAATAACAGTGAGCACGCTTAGATAATTCGGTATCTCATGGCATGTCAACTAGCTTTGCGGCATCATACTTATGACCATCACACTACAACCTAATAATGCATACAATTAAGGCTTCTGATATAAATGGGATGTGTATTGAGATTTGGAAAGTGGTACAGGATATTATAGTGGTTAAGTTAACAAATCTTTACAATAAAATTTTGGGGATTAAGAAAAGGCCAAATGACTGAAAAATATTTTAGTGCCAATATTAACGTATTGGATACAATCAAAATTTTGCTTACTAAGAAATGATTAAACTTTCTAATCATTAAATGAATCTACAAGAAAGAAGAATGGAGCATAGTCTTAAAATATTTATATCAATTTCAAACAATCAATTTAGGGTGTGTGTTCGGAGCAGCTTATTTGTTGCGGCGCGGCACGAAAATACACTTTGGTATGTGTTTAGTTTCTCCGGTGTGGGTGAGTTTATGTAAACATACGCGAGATTTGTAGCATCATAATTGTGACCATCACACGACAACCTAATCATGCATACAATTAAGTCTTCTAATATAAATGAGATGTGTCTTGAGATTTGGAAGAAATATAGGACATTTAAGAAAATGTCAAATGATTGAAAATATTTTAGTACCAATATTAAAGAATAATGGGTACAATCAAAATTTTGCTTACTAAAAAGTAATTAAAAATCATTAAATGATTCTACAAGAAAGAAGAAAGGAGCATACTTAAAAAATTTATATCAATTCCAAACAATCAATTTGCGTGTATTCGAGGCAGCTTATTTGCTGCGTCGCGGCACGAAAATGCACTTTGGTGTGCGTTTGTTTTTTGCGGCGTAGTTGACTTTATTTAAAAGCAATTGAGGTTATGTGATGTCGTCTACGACCCGCATTTCGTATTTTTGTTCCTGCGATATTACCAAGCTGCCCCGCATCGCGTATCTATTCGAGTGATCCTCCTTCGGTTTGCTGCCTAGGATTTTTCCTCCTTACTTTCCTTTGTTTGCAACTTCTATCCTTTGAATTTAAAGGCTTTTCTCTGTGGTTTGTGGTCTCTATCTCAGTGGCTTTGTTTTTTACGGTTCGTGGTTTGCAAAGACACCTTATTGCCTTCAATTCATTTTTCTATGAAGTTATTTTGAGAATTTGCTATATAAGAAAAATGACATTTGTTTATTCTGTGATGGCCTTTGTTTTCTCAGAAAATTCGTCTAGAGAAATTTTTTTTTACGACTTTGATCTGTGCGGTTTGTTGTTTTTGTGTCGGTGGGGTTGCTCTTTATGATTTGCTCTCTATGTTGGGTCGGTTTCTCATTACGGTTTTTTCTCTGTCTCGGGTGGGTCGCTCTCTGTCTCAGTTGCGTTGCTCTGTATAAGCTCATTGAATTTTAGTGAATAACTATGTGGCTTGTTGTTTAATGAATGGGAGGAACCTAATTTATGTGTTTGATGAATCTAATTTGGTGAGTTGCTCTTTGTTGTTTACGGCCTCTGTCTGTGATCAATGAATTTTGGGGTTGCTCTTTGTGATATGGGGTTACGTGCAAAATTTTACGATGAAAGGAGAAGCTTTCATTTTTACTATGAAATTATTTGATTAATTTTTTACTTGTAATAAAAGGGTGAGACTTGTAGCCTGATTTTATTAGGCTTAAGTACTTGAACTTATTTATGAATTGCTAAAAAGAACTCATCTAGCGTTTTGATGCTTGGCAAGTAGTTCTTGAGCTTGGATAAATAGGCTTGAGCTTTGGTAAATACTCTCTTAAATTTTGAGGAGTTTATCATGGGTTCATGACATTGATTAGTTTTGGCAAGTTCATATCAATCTTTGTTAATTTATTGTGTATTCGTGTTGATCAAGAAGAGCCTATGTCATTAAAAATTTGAGAAATTTGGATGAACACATTAATTACATTATTTGATTTTTTTCTCATTTAATGAGTTTCCAAGTGGGATCTATATGGTTGAATTCAACTGCAAATTAAAACATCATTAATGAAGCAAATGCCAAAGTTTGGTGAAAAAATAGTTGTTTATTTGGTTATGTATAAGTTGGTAGGAGTCATTCTACTTCTCTTTCCAGGTTCATGGGTGGTTATAAAAAGGAGTGAAATATGCACATGCCATCAAATTCATGCATATTTACAAATATAATAAAAAATGAACAAATGAATATATGTAGATGTGTAAGTGGTACATGATTTTTTAAAACATGAGTTCAAGATGATCCACTTAATGTGATTATTATACATATGCGGAGACATTTTTCAAAATTATTTTGTCATTCTATTGAGCTTTATCAACTGCCATTCGCGGCGTGGGTGTGTTTAATTAAACGCAATGTCCTCTTTACACCGTCGTCGCTCACATGCAATCTGCGGTTTCGTTCTAATAAAATTTTAAAAGGATCCCTTCATTGTATGTATGAAAATGCTCTGAATTGACACAATTGAAAAATATGGAGCTAGTTACATTTGAGTTTTGGAAAAAAGAGTTGTCTCAGGACATACTATTCGGATAGATTTCATATGTATATTTTCTATCATCTTGCTAGTTGTGGGCTTTCAGATGGTAGTTTATGTTTTGATGAATTAAACTTATTGTTTGTAAAAATATATGTTGATTAATTCTTTTCATGGTAGTAGTGGTGATGGGTAAGACAAAAAATTTGATCGTCTACTATGTGGAATAAAGATGTGAAATTAATCTTTTGCGATCTCTGTCAAAATGAGGTGGAATTGGGACATTGACCAACCACCTAATTTAACAAAGAAGAATGGCAAAATATTATCAAAAAATTTAAGGAAAGCATTGGAAGTGAATATGGTAGAATACAACTGAAAAACAAATTGGATCAATTAAAAAGGATTGGAAAATATATAAAGAGTTAAAGCTTAGATTGGAATTTCATAAAGCGAACCATTGATATTTCAGAAGAAAGGTGGGCTAAGATATTGGAGGTAAAAATTTATTAAACGTTATTAAGCTTATAGATGAATATAATTGAGTACTATAAGAATTGCTTTATTAAGCAATAAGGTAGAAAAGTTCGTGTTAAAGGTATGATGAAGTTATTAAAAATATGTATGATAAACACTAGATAATACTTAAAAGAGATAAAAAAATGCAAATTATAATAGAATCTCATCAAGGATCAACATGAAATTCATAACTTGTAATATTGGTCAAGAAGATGCTTACAAACGATATTCGAAGTGACGTTTCTTGGTGTATGCCTTTTGCAAATAAAATAAAATATTTATAATGAGTGAGACATTCATTAAAATAAGTAGATTCAAAATAATGGAGAAAATGACGAGATAAAGAGTTTAGAATCAGTAGATTAAAAACTGAGTATATGATACAAAATATTAATTGATGTGATATTAATAATAATAATAAATAATATTAAAAGATAAAATGATACCTAATAATGATAAAAGTATTTTAAATCTATTACACCAAAAATAGAAATTTATATCAGTATATAACTTTTAGAGTTTAGGCAACGGTTAAAATGGAGAAGCATTTCGAGACTACATGTGATAATAGAATATTAGAAAGAACTAGAGATCAATCTATAGACACATAATTAAACCAACAATGTTGTATGTATCCAAGTGTTGTGCTGAGAAAGGAATTCTTCGATATCCAAGTAGAATTTCATAAATAAGAATATAAGTTGGAAGAGTGGTGAACCTATGATGAATAAATTAAGGAATGATTATATTATAAAAATTATTGAAGATAAAAGGATTAAAAATAGACTAAGTGGTTTATTACGGAAGATAAAAAATAAACCCTTAGCTTTGTAAAAAAAAAGTAGTAATAGAAGATTAAGGACAAATATACAACTAAGAAAAAAAAAGATACAGATCACTCAAAAGAATCAACAAAGAACATGTTTACATGTCAAGCGACAACCTATAGAGATGTATGAAAAATAAAGATTGTAAAGCATATTGAAAATAATTAGGAGAAAAATAAAGATTGATAAAACATATTGAAAATAATTGGGAGAAAAATAATGATCATGGATCTAGTATAGAAAACCTAACCATTTAGCCATGCTTGCATCACTTAATCATTTTGCTTTTAAGAATATAATTAGTTCATAATTTGTAACAATTTTTATTTTTACTTCTAAAAAAATCAATTTATTTTTAAAAATGCTAAAAATAACTTTTAACAAAACATGAACTATCAAGCATCCTATGTCAAGGACACCACAGCCACTATCGCTACTACCACCAAAGCTACCATCGCCTTCGTCATCACCGTCGTCATCGTCGTCGCCACCAACCCCATCGTCGTTGCTCTCATAAACGTAGGTCACTCTGGTTGCCCAACCGCCGCTAATGCTAACCATTAACATCGCAGGTAGTCACTAGCCCGTCAACCACCACCATTGGTCACCAGCATCATATATCATGGCCATCGTCACCACCATTGCTGCATAAATCAACTTATGTAATATTCATGGCCACCACCACCATCATTATATCATGGAGCCCGTCAACCACCACCATTGGTCACCACCATCATATATCATGGCCATCGTCACTACCATTGCTGCATAAATCAACTTATGTGATATTCATGGCCACCACCACCATCATTATATCATGGCCACCGCCATTGCTAGATAAATCGATTTATGTGATGTTCCATAAAAATAAAAATAACATATATTTGTATTTCATATCAAAATAAAAACAGAATAAAAATTAAAAAAATAAAAATAAAAAGTAATATTAAATGGCCCCTAAGGTGCCCTACATCAAATTTAACACCAGCATTTAAGATTATACCACAATGTCTTAGTGAATAGGGACATTATATCGTGCGAATAAGACTGTCAATGAACCAAAACGTTCAGCACGCTAATCGTGGCCCAATTCAATTAGAGCCCATTGAAGATCATTTAACTAACTAATCAAACAACATTGACCACATTTTTAATTAAAAAATTAATAAATGAACAAGCTTGAACTACATATTGCTTGATTCATTTTACTCATGAAC